TGGGGGTTAAACTCTCTTCTTCGGAGACTATGATGATTCTTAAGAAGTCAATAGACCAGACTTTGTGGTAACACTCTCTTTCATGGCGGGGCTATAAGATAAACTGTTAGCAGCCATGGGGAGAAGAGGTTTATCCTCTAATTTGTCTGAGAAAAGGCGAATCTGAGTCTTCCACTGTCACATGCAAAGATTTTATCAAAAACAAAATTGGTTTTTTTTTGTTTGTATTCAAGATATCTTATTCAACTACTGTTCTTGTGAGCAATGGACATAAGATTGTTTTTCATATCAGTGTTGTCAAGTATGGATTACAAATTCTAAACCCAAACAAGATATACTCAAAAATGGCATAATCGAAAGGAAAAAAAAAGGGAACTTTTATCATCTTGATTGTTGCCTCTAGTGAATTATCAACCGTGAAAAGCTCTCACAGCATTATTGGTTGCTTAATAGTGGGCCTAATCCTTTTATTTGCATTGATGAGAATGAATGAAACAAGAAATGGGAAAAAAATTTAGCTTTGAACAAGTTTGTGGTGTGGTGTCCAGTGCAGTTATAATTTAGTGACAGCTCAACACACTGATGTGAGTGGAAATCTGTTTTAATCAAGAATCTGACTTTGTGGCCAATTATTAATTTTCAAACTTGCCAGTTTAGGTTAGCTTGTTTGTGTTTGTTACCAATTGTGTAATCTGTTTTACAATTGTTGTTGCTAGCTGAGAACTTAGCCCCTTATTACTCTCTTGTTTTAGACTAATTTAAGTAAAAGAAAACTGTCAGTTAGTTTCTACTTTGGTTACAAACTTGCTTAGAGACTTAGAGTCATGTGCTTGGAAAATCAAGTGGTCCAATGGTCTTCCTTTGTGTATACAAACTATGAAATGTGAATGTATTGTTCTTCCTTGTCTCATAATTACATTGGTGTTCTCAGTTGAAGAGTCCAAAGACTTTTTCTTGACACTATTATTGTTCATCACACACACTTGCAACAACCCAGAGTTTCAGAGCTTGATGTGTATAACTGGATTTAGAAAGAACAATTTTTTTGTTTGGGCTCAGATTATTGTTTAATCATGTGTTTGTTGAGATGGGTTTTGGCTCTGTTTGGATTATACATCCACTTGTATGAGGTCTTAATTGATTGTTACACTTTTTGTGTTTGCATCATCCTTAAGAGAGAGAGGGAGAGAATCCTGAAAACTTATGGAGAAAAGACAAACTGTTTCCTATATATCTCATTTTCTTTCCTCCACAAGCTCCAAAAGAGTTTACTTGGGAATCCAGAAGCTGACGCTGACTTAATACCAAAGACACATCTTCTTATTTATATTGTCTCGAGTGTTTGAGTTGTTCTTCTGCTTAG